CCTAGCAACCTTTGCTGGAAAGATAATCAACCATAATACAGACGTGATGGAATTTTCAGAAGCATCATGGACACTGCTTGACTCTTCTTTTCAGAACATGGTGTAGCGCGAATTGGACGTAAACATAAACATCCTTTTTCTAACTCATCCAAATGAGACGAATAGTCGATTTCCCTGTATGACGGTAAGCAGCTGTCTGAACTGACAGGAGAAGCCCAGAAAGGAGATTCGGCTGGTTTAGCAACTTCCGGTTACATTTCTTTCTCTTTTTCGTTCATTTCAAGAGAAAAAAACAAAGATGTTCTAACGATTACTAAAAAGTCCGAAATAAACAGCGAAAATGATCCAAGTTGTTAGCAACGAAGAAGAACTTCGTGGGACTTTATATGAAAAGAACGACTCACTCAACTAACACCACAAAAAAAAAGAAATCCCTTCATGAAAGCTTCTACGAACGCGAATTGGAAACGCAATGGCAATGGCTAGAGTTTTGTTGAAGTGAAAACGGTCATCAATCAATTTCGGTTTCTTTTGGTGCCTTTCGCTATAGCGCTTACCGTCGTTTTGAAACCCCTCGCTGTATCATATTTAATTCATTGTTACTTCTTTTGCTGGGGTAACATGCTATCCATTTGGCAGGTAAATAAAACATATGAACTATGGATATTACGATCCTATTTATTTATTCTTCTTAACAAAAAGATAAATTATCTGTTGCTATTAAACTGAATAACTGATTATATTCTCTCAATCTTCTATTTGGACTATGAAACGAAACTGATTCTTCATGATGGTATATGTGTGTAATAATTTAGTGGACGAACAGTATTGCTGTATATTTGATTCCATACTTTCAAAAACATCTAGCTTTTCATTCTTATTCCTTTAATATGTATATTACAATTCAGATTCAAACCACTGAATATTAAAAATCCTGATGGTAATTTCATTGTAACTGTCTAGACAACTGGTGAGATACAATTCATCCCTCAATAATAATCAATTTGCAAACAACATTATAGAAAACAGTACCGCAATCAAAAGAAGATTCCAACCTTGTAGAAAGCTTTAAACATTTTGAATCGATTTGTTTACATTTTAGCGAGAAGTTTAACAAAAAAATCACTTATCCTCGTTATTCTTTTACATGGTCTAGCTACACCTTTTGTTTACATTGAAGAAACACCTAAAAAGGAGGAATTTTGGCCTTTGTATGTTGTTTTGAAATTTATATTACAACAGCAAGCGTGTTTATGAGAAGTTTACTTTCTATCGTTTCCCTTGATCGTGTTCGACCGTGATTGTAGACGAAGCATAAATCGACAGACTTACAAGGTGGAATTAGATGAGAGTATCTTTTTGCGTGGTACTTCTTTTTGGAAAATAGAGTCAAATACAAAGAGGGATGCTTATTTTTTGATGAAAAGTTTGAAGTTTCGTTTGGTTTTATGAAAAGCAAGCTAAAAGTTTTTACGATTTTTTTTTTTACTTATGAAGATAATTTCCACATATTCATTTCATTCTCTTAAATATGTCAGAATCAAGTCAGAAATCAGAGCACTCAAGGTTGAGTGATATGGGCGATAGTTCAGGTAAAGAAGAGTTGACAGAGGAGGAAAAACAACTACAAGCTCAATTATTAGAGGTCCAGAAGAAAATGGATGAGCTGAAACAAAAGAAGCGAAAGGTAGCTAGTGATGAGGAGCAAAGACAAGAAGCGGTTCAAGTTCCTCGTTCCCCTGAAGCTGTTCGGGTCCTTACAGTGAGCTCACCTTCCAAAATAAAGAGTCCTAAAAGACTTCTCTTAGGAATCGATAAAGGAAAGACAGGGAAAGATGTTTCATTAGGAAGGAAACAGATTGAGCCAGCAGTAAAGCCTTTTCACGCCCGGTTAGCAGAAGCTCGGGACGATGAAAAGAAAAAGGAAGAGAGAAAGAAAGAAGCAGCAAAAAACAGAAAAGTCTCCTTTCAAAGGAAACCTAATACCCTGAGCACAAAGAGTTCCAATAAACCCGTGTATCCGATGCCTTGCAACGAAATTGAACCATATTCTCGTCAAGTCATTACAGTACGCTTCATGAGTGATGAAGAAGTCAAGGATAATTTACAGGGATGTTATGTGTATCTTATTCGTCAACTACTAAAGCTAGTAGTACCTCCTAAATATGAACAACCGGACGCTGATAGCTTTGTATTGATGGGGATCGTGGCTTACAATACCGGCACAAGGGAAACAGTTCACAAGAAAAAATACTGTATGCTTACACTTACAGACTTAAAGTGGCAGATAGAGGTCTTTCTCTTTGGCAAAGCCTTTGAGCGGTATTGGAAAGTACAACCCGGGACGGTCATTGCGTTGCTATGTCCAGATATACTAAAGCCAAAAAACCCAGATGCCGGTAAATTTTCGCTGAAGCTGGACACGAATTACGACGTGCTGTTAGAAATTGGTAAATCAAAACATTTGGGCTATTGTCAGAGTCGCAAAAAAAACGGGGAGCTTTGTAAACATTGGTTGGATAATCGAACATCAGAAGTCTGTGAATATCATGTGGATATGACGGTACAAAGGACGATGTCGCGACGAACAGAGTTTGGTTCGAGTACAACGATCATGCACGAGCCACGAGCAAGGCGCGAGAAGCGTCTTCGTGGTCAAGGGTTCCATGGCTATTATGCGGGAGAAAAGTATTCCGCAGTCCCCAATATGGCACTGGGTCTTTATGATGCAGAAGAATCTGTTCAACAGGAAATTGAGCGAAAAGAACGATACAAGAAGCAACAAGCAAAAGCAGAGCGTGAAAGGGAAATTTTAGAGCGTTTAACAATGAAAAGGTCCTTGCCGAATGCGTCCTCTTCCTTTTCCTCCAGTTCATCAACGAGCACATCGGGTAACTCTCACGACACGGCCTACACTCCAGCACGCACTTTGGGACATCAGTATTTAAACTTACAAGCAAAGCATGCTACAGCGTCTTCTGGGAACTCTAAATTATTCACAACAAACTCATCAGATGCGTCGTCTCCATCGGTGGATCGGCAAACAGGAGAACTACCGTTCCTTCCGGGAAATCATGATACCGGAAAGAACAAACCGAAAGATTTCAAAGACTTATCGGCTAATTCAAATACTAAATTGCCCAACCCGGACCAGAAGTCAATTTCGAAAGCAGAAGGATCGGCCGCATCGAACTTACCGAGAGAAAAAAGTGATCCGAAAAAGTCAGACGAAGCGAATCCACTTTCATCATCACATTCGGCGGCACAAAGAATTTTTTCCCCAAGAAGCCTACGAAGGATTGGGTTTGATCCCACTCTTACAAACAACAACAATGGCGGACCAGGAATGGATTCTAACCCGCATCATTCTTCTGCACGCACGCTAAATTTAAAGAATACAAAGTTTCGTTATGAATTTACCGAAAGTGATGAAGAGGATGACTTGGAGATTGTCGCCTAAAGGAACAATTTTCGCAAGCTAAATATTGACACAATTCACTAAACTATAATGGAAAGCTAAATTTTTTTTCAGTCAATCATTACAGCCATTCCAGATAACAAGAGGCACATGGTCATACGTGACTGGTATATTATGTTTCGTTCCTCTGTTTATTTACTTCATGCTTCATACGAATGTCTTTTCTTTCGCTTGATGGTTTCCACCGGAGTTTAATTTCAAACAGCTTCTATAAACATGGAGTTCAAAGTGCGAATATCTCTCATGATTGGTAAATAAGGTGATTTCCTTTTTCGCTTTCTTTTACTCTAATATCAATATTACGTGTACGAAAATTTTTCGCCTTCCGAAGCTTCGCCTAATTGATTACCAAAGTGGTTTTACGTTAGTCGGCGCATAAAAAAAAAAAGAAAGGAAGGCGACCAATTCCTATCAGTCATCAAAACCTGAAAAAGTTGGCGTCACCATTGCATGGATTGAAAATGCGATCTTAGAAAAATTTCTCTATATAAACCCTGGCAAATACCTTGAAATAGTACGGATTGAGCAGACTATTTCTTATCAAAGATTAAATTATTGAATATAATCCAAGGTATTTTGAATTATACCTTGGATATTAACAGTTTCGTTAAGCGATCAAAGATTATCAGTGATTTCCGTGAAACCAAGTGTCATTGATTGTCAAATCAGGTGTTTCTTTTTTGTATATATAGTCAAAATTTCGAAACGTTTACTCCATTGATTGTACTTGATTCATTATCTTTTATTGTCGACTCATTTTCCCTTTATTGTTTATTTTTATTTTTCTTCCGATAGGATGATATTCAACAACGTTGTAAGAGTCTTTACCAGGAACGGCGGTGCTTCGATGGCTACTATGCGCCGTTGCTCTATTGCTAAACCTATTATGGGATACCAATCCCAATGCTTTTTCTCTACTCAAAATGCCCAACGAACGGATCGTTCGGTTTACGGATTTCGTTCGAATGGAAATGAGCAAGTCTATGAGTCGGAGGTTGCTGCCTCTGATACAGGAAAAACAAGTGATTATTCAAAGTACGTTCAAGATGCCCGCGATGATTTGAACAGTCCAAGTTGGGGTTCAGAGCAAACCACAAACTCTGCAGAATGGCAAGCGTAAAATGTAGGCGTTCATTGATCTATATATAAAGTTTTTTATTCTTTGTTGTTTTTTGTTGATGTCAGTGAGACCAAAATTGGAAATAACAGCGAAGGGAGAGTCAAGTCGAACATGATCCCTTAGAAGGCCAAGACTCGGCTAGCAAGTGGAAAGATTTCAAAAGCACAAAGGATTGACGTTGTTGAAAATATTATAAAAAACGACATGCTCTTCGATTGAATCTCCCAAGGTATCAAAAAATAAAAAAAAAGGAGAGGAAAGCACGAAAAGGGTTTAAAGATAGCGTATACACATATGTTACAAAGAAAAATTCTTCTACGATATTTGGCGCTTAATAAAAAAAAAAGAGAATCAAAAACGATCCCTCCAACTTGTTGATTTCATTTTTTGTTCATTAATGTCTTGAACGGTCCTTCCAACACTTCACATCGCAAATGTTTGTCCTGCGAAATGAGTTGATATACTAATCTCTTTTCTTTTCTTTTTCTTTTTTTCTCTTGTTGGTTACATTCTCATTTGCTATTTTGTTTTTAAGGAGTTACTCTTTTTGAGTTGGCATAATTGTGAGTTCTATTCAATGATATGATTATGGTTCTTACTCAACTGCTCCGTGGCTATATTGTTTTTAGATTAATTTTCTTTTTCATTTTCAATGCTGAAGTATTTCATTTGAGGCATGGATGTTTCATTTGACAGTATCTGCAATTATTTTGCAGGGAACTCATATCCAATATGAAATCATCGTTCTTCTGTAGATTTATTATTTACGATACCTTATTATTCTTTTAATTAATTAATCATTATCCCCAGTTTATATCGAGTTTGACGAGAAAGGCTTTTGTAATTGCAAATTATGGCTATACAATACAATTTTGCCGTTCGTTTTAGTACCTCAAAACATGGTATTCTTTTATCAAAGTCAATGAAATGAAACCATCTATCTTTCATAACAACAGAGTACTGTTTCCTCGCTTTTCTGATGTACTACTTTCTATATACCTTTACATACTTCAATTACCAATCCCTCATTCTATTCCACAAGACTTTATTTCAGCTAAAACACGCGTTTTTTACTTTTTCAACTTAAATTTAATAAAACATATACTTGAAACTATTGAATTGAGGCTTGCTAATTTCCTTTAACTTAAAAAGTGAAACTTTGTGAATCGGCCAACTTTCAACACGTCTTGCTTTATTACCTTTCTCTAAAAACGTACTACTTATCTTCTACTTATTAAAACAAAGAGATTATGGAGGAAGCGTATGTTGTCAAACAAAAGGAATTGTTCACATTCGTAAACTAACAGCTAGAAAGACTTACGAATCAAACGGTTTGTATCGACAATGTATGGGGTCATTGGGTTTTCAAATAACCTATTTTTGAGCTATTGTATTGACAGCCCATTCTAGGGGTCAGGCTTTCTCAAAGCAGGGTTCTCGGGAAATGACATTCCTCAATGCTTTTCCTCAAACGTGTATGTCAATTTATTTTTTCTACATAGTGTCGTCTTCTAACATGCTATAATAGCGTCGGAAGGACAAAGCATACGCGTGTAATGCCTAGTCATCTTCAGCAAGACACTTATATTGGTTCGAAAGCGCAGGAGCTTCGAGGATTATTAAAACTTGAATATCCAGTTCAGCGTGGTCTTGTAAAAAACTGGCACGATATGGAAAAAATCTGGTCTTATGTTTATTCCAATGAACTTCAAACTTTGCCCGAAGATCACCCAGTGCTATTAGCAGAGCCGCCTTTAAATAATGCAAAAAACAAAGAGAGAATGGCTGAAACTTTCTTTGAAACATTTAACGTTCCAGCACTTAGCTTTTCATTACAGCCCGTTCTTGCTTTATACGCAACTGCACGTACGACTGGTCTGGTAGTAGAGGTAGGAGAAGGCTTAACACATACCGTCCCAATCTTCGATGGCTTCGTCCTTTCGAGTGCTCAACGCGATGACTACGGTGGTAAAGATATAACTGAGTATTTACAGCTTCAGCTTCGACAATTAGGCTACCGCTTTGTGACGTCTGCCGAAACAGAGATTGTCCGTGAAATCAAGGAAGCATGCTGCTATGTATCCCCAAACTTTCAGACGGAGGAAAAAACTCACTCTTCCTTTAATACAAAACTCCAGCAGTTTACACTTCCTGATGGACAAGTCTTAAAATTAGGATCAGAATGTTTTCGAGCTCCGGAATTACTGTTTCGTCCCGAACTCATAGGATATGAAAATGGCGGTATCCATCATCAAATTGTACAAGCCGTTATGCGAAGCGATCTTGATTTACGTAAAGATCTTTTAAGCAATATTGTCCTCTCTGGTGGAAGTACATTGCTGAAAGGATTTGGAGACAGACTCTTAAAAGAACTTCAAGGGTCGGGTGATGTTCGAAATTGTGTCAAGATGTATACACCACAAGAAAGAAGATATGCAGCGTGGACAGGTGCTTCCATCTTGGCAAGCTTAAGCACATTCTCAAATATACTAATCACGTCTGAAAACTATAAATCGGATCCCTATTGTATTTTTAAATAGCTACAGCATTGAAAAGGAAAACTCAAACGTAAAACAATAAAAAATGGATTAAACATTCGGCTTTTGCATTTTATTAGTTCTGCTAATTGACGCAATCACGTTTACATATTCTTAAAATATCGATCTATCTGCTAAAGCTTCAATTCGCTATTTTCCGTAATTTTTAAGGAGTAATCTTTCAAGGAATGCAAAATAATCCCTGCAGCGACGGAAACATTCAATGAATCTACATATTGATCTCCATAAGGAAGTGTTAAAACATATTCGCACTGTCTTATCATGTTTGTCCTTAAACCATCTGAATATTTTCGTTAGCATTAGAAATAAGATTTTATGAAATGCATACGTTCTCCTCCAAAGACGACAACCTTTGGCTTCGCTGCCAAACTCGGAGGCATAGAAAGCACGGAATATTGATTCGTATTTGGTATGCTTCCCATAGGAGCAGTAGCAAAAACTTTCCAGTTCTTTAGACTGCAGTCTTTTAAAAACAGAGTAGGATTTTGAACCCGATACACATTCATTAACTCCAGTGCACCAGCAGATGCTTTACTGACGATGGGTGACAAGGTAGAGTTATGTTTTTTCGACAAAAGGATTCCTTGAACACCTAAAAAATACTGTTTGTTGTTAGCAATGGTATATAGGATCAGGAATTAGCTTACAGAACTTCGAATGATAGCACCCAAGTTTTGCGGGTCTGATACACCATCGCAATAAACATATAAAGGAGGACATGGTTGTGAAGTTTTTTCAGACGAAGAAATGACCCGTTCCGCTGATGACCCTTGAACACGCCCTTGTGTTACATCGTTGATATCAGTAATGACTGGAGGTTCCAAGGCTGAAGCCTTCAATACTATGCCCTGAAAATAGTTAGTTGATGATGTCGGTGAACGCTCATGAACAAAAGAATTCCAGCTGAACAGTAAGTGTACACACATTATGAGGTCGTGAATTAGTCATTTCGTTTAAATCATGTTTACCGGCAAGGCGACAAGGAATATTTAGCTTCAACGCATTCATAAGGTTTTGGTATTCATTCAGCTGCTTTGAGGATTGAGCCAGCAGACACTCAAAACTTCGTTTTCCGGCATGAAGTGCGTTTCTTACTGGATGGTCACCATATATATATTCATGTACAACAGGTTTCTTGAAAGTAGATTTATTTCTTAACAAGAAAGCATGAGGCTGTAAATGAAAGGCCGAGTGCTTCAAAATCTTTGTGAACGGACGCAACTGCCAAAAGGAAATTGACATCCTTGTTTTTATTAAGTCGTGTTTATAGTTACCAATAACATTAATAGCAAACTATACGGGTAAAGAATATTTGGCAATGAAGTTTACTTTTATGGAATTAAAGGTGAGTTTTATGATACAGAATACACTTGAATTACCAAAGATCTCAATTTACGATTTTCAGGGAAAGAAAAATAACAATAAACCACTATTAAACAGAACAAAAGCTATCCTTCAAAATATGATTAAACCAAAACTTTGTGATTAGGGGCACATATGCTGTAATAAAATAAGAGATAAAGAATTATTATACGGAATGCTTCTAACGTGACTACAAATCAATATTGAAAGGGGGCTTAATGCTTGTTGTGTTCAGGACGGAGAGAACGAACGGTCTCACCAGCCTTCCAGATTTCCAAGTTACGGATTTCTTCAAGCTCCTTGTCGTAAAGTTCACGGTAATTAGGAGCAGAGTTGTATTCCAAAGAACGCTTGGCCTCGTTGCCGTTCTCAACATTGTCATACAAATCGTTGAGGACCTTCTTGTTGGCTTCATAGAAGCGGCTGGTCCAGTCAATGGCACCACGACGAGCAGTAGTGGAGCAGGCGGCAAACATATAATCAAGACCGTACTTACCGATCAAGGGGTAAAGAGATTGAGTGGCCTCTTCAACAGTTTCGTTAAAAGCTTCAGCAGGAGAGTGACCACGTTCACGCAAAACTTGGTATTGAGCCAAGAAAAGACCGTTAATACCACCCATAAGGCAACCACGCTCACCGACCAAATCGGAAACGACTTCCTTCTTGAAGGTAGTTTGGTAAATGAAACCAGAACCAACGGCAACAGCTAAGCCAATGGCCTTTTCTTGAGCCTTACCAGTGACGTCTTGGTAAACGGCGAAAGAGGAATTGATACCACGACCTTCCTTGAAAAGGGTACGGACGGTACGGCCAGAACCCTTAGGAGCGACAAGGATGACATCAACATCCTTGGGAGGGTGGATATTGGTTTGATCCTTGAAGATGACGGAGAAACCGTGAGAGAAGTACAAAGTCTTGCCCTTAGTGATGTGAGGGGCAATCTTAGGCCAGGTCTCAGTTTGAGCGGCATCAGATAAAAGGTTCATGATGATAGTACCCTTTGAGATAGCTTCTTCAACGGGGAATAAGGTCTTACCAGGAACCCAACCGTCCTCAATGGCTTGCTTCCAAGAAGCACCATCCTTACGAACACCAACGACAACGTTTAATCCTTGATCACGGGCATTCAAACCTTGACCGTGTCCTTGAGAACCATAACCAATGATGGCAAGGGTATCGTTCTTGAAGTAGTCAACCAACTTCTCACGAGGCCAGTCAGAGCGCTCCCAGACATTTTCCTTGGCACCAGCAAAGTCCATGACACGCATACCACGGCTTTGAACCATAGGGGTAGTCAAGCGAGGGGCAAAGCGAGTGGTAGAGGCCGCAATGTTACGAGACATAACAGAAATGTTGCGAGTAGCCAAACGACGGCTACCAATAGTACGAAGGGCCTTCATGGCCATTCTAGAGGAATTACGGAATGACATTTTGATTACAAGTTTCGCAGCTTTTGCAGAGGGTGAATTCCATATTTATTACAACCTCTACTCGTTACCGTGACTGCTTCGATCGATATTCTTGATATAGATTTTACAAGATAGCGAGCGTACGATATTTCGCACTATCTCAATATAAACACAAATAAGAAAAAGTATATCAATCCACTGGGAAAAGTAAAACGAATGGACTATTAATTTTCTGTTGATGGATTCAATGGCTTGGCTACTTTTAATTGAAACAACGCGTAAACAACCTCGATACGCCTTCTGCAATGTATATGCATAGGATGGAAAACCATCTTCGACTAGGCTTTCTGAGGAAAGGTAAACGTAGAAATCATTCTGTTCCATATAGGAAACAGACGAGTTTTTTATTTCTAAACAACTAAACAAAAATGAAAGAAAACACTCATCCGTTACAATGCTATACAAATTTGGTATATCAAATCCCCATGTTGGAGGGGTAAGAAGCCAGCTTCGAAAACAAAACGAGGTCATAAAAAATTAAATTATCCTTTTTTTGACAATTAACACCTTGCGCACCAATTACTGAAAACCTTGCTTAGATATCGAGAGTATACCTCAAATTATAACAAGACGACAGCAAAAACGAATAAAACGAAAAATAACAATATACCTCATAGTGAAACCGACATCATAATAAAATTAGTCATAAAATAAACATGCAAATCATCACATAAATTTTCGAATCACGGTTCATATGTTCAAGAGGAGTTGAATCCCCCAGTTGACTAAATTAAGAACATGATCTTTTTCTGGATTTTTCTTTTTATAATAATAGTAAATAGTAGAAACTTTCTTAGACAGAAATTATCTAATGAATGGATTCTATTTATTTATTATTGACTGTAAGTTGCCAGTCATTAAGGTCAGGTCATGTTGACTTTTTTACCAGGAAGTAATATCCTCCATTTCACCAAAAACGCTTTCACGTTGGGCATTAAGAGACTCTAATTCCAACTCAGCTGAAGTGTTTTCCTGTGACAAGATGTCTGCGAGATGTTCAGCTTCAAATTTTTGGATATAAGAGTTGACTTGTGTAAACTCAAGTAAAAAACCATCATGCCCCTCGGCAGAAACAATCGTTTCCAAACTGGCATTCGGGAAACAGGAAGCAATCTCTACTTGTTCATCATAAGTAAACAATCCATCGCTTTCTATTCCCAAAACTAACACCGGCAAAGTAAGGTGTTTCATAACTTCCATGGGATCTTCTGATCCACGATCTCGAGTAACGTCATGAGTATCGAGCTTCTTCGTGATCGAGATATAGCAATTGGCGTCAAATCTACCTACAAACTTCTTAGCTTGGTATCGCAAGTAAGATTGAGCAGAAAAATAGGTATTTGCAGGACGACGCAACAAAGGGCTCCGAGTACCTGAAGCAGTGTCTGTACTCTGAGACAAGGAAGGAGTAGAAGACACTTTAAAAAAGCCGCTACCGGGTGACTCTGGTGAAGATCCTGGAGATCTACACGGACGCTCACGACGATTATGATTGCCTTCATTATGAACTACCCAGTGAGCATCCCCTGGAGTCATTGGGGTAGGCACACGATCAGGATAAGGATGACGATTGGCATCTGGCAACTTACGAGCGAAGCGGCGCTCAAACGAGCATTTAGAGCGATACGTTAACAACGCAGACATACGAGCGGCGCCCAAACCACTCAATGGTTGATCATCCATATCATAGAATCCGTCATTGAATTTGGGATCAGAATAAATACTTTGGCGTTGAGCTTCTGACCAGCTTATGCACCAAGCAGAATGTCTCAATGACGTTGAAATGGGAACAATAGAGCGAACATAGTTGGTATCAAAGGCCCATTCTAAAACTAGCATACCCCCCATAGAACCACCAACCGCCATGGCAATTTGTTCAACGCCTAGGCGTTGCAATACCAGCTTATGGAGAGCAACGTCATCACGGATGGTGGACAAAGGAAATTCAGGACCGTAAATTGCTTTGGTTTCAGAATTCCAGGTAACTGGGGAAGCACTTCCATAGGGGCTTCCTAAAGAATTAAGACAAACGATGAAGAAGTGAGTAGGGTCAAAAGCACGGCCTGGTCCAAGCAAAGGACCCCACCAATCTGCCGCATCAGCAGAGCCACTAAGAGCATGACAAAGGAGAAGACAATTATTTCTTTCCTTATTTAAAGCTCCCCATGTTTTGAAGGCCACAGGAACATCGTATAATATTTCCCCGCATTCTAAAGTGAACTCTGGAACTATCGCAATTCTTTGATCTGCAATTAAGCCAATAAATTTGTTTTCTTGTTGAGATGGGTGAGCGGTATCCACAAAATATATGGACTCAACTGAAGAACGAGGTTCCATCGTAAATTATATCCACAAGCGAAGAAATCAAAAGCCTTTAAATATCTAAAACAGAGGTTTTTTGCTCTACTATCAGAGTTCCCAATCAAAATTATTTCTAGGATTTTTCTTTTAAAAATGATAAAAATCCTTTTTAATTCCTTTCTTTTCAAGTACAACTAATTGAAACTAATTGAAAGAAAAGAATTAAAGTCGTAAAAGAAATGGGAAAAACAAAAAATCGTAAAAACTTATCTATAGTCCTTACGAAAAAAAACCAAAATGTGCGTCTACTAGGAGGCAATATAATTTTAGGTTTTTTAGATGAATTGGCAAAGAGAATTTATATTGCCAAGAATTCACTTAAAGTATCTTAAATACACAAACGCTGCGCAATTACCTACTCTTGGTAGTTTATGGTAAAATCGAAATTGCTGTGAACTCAAACTTATATAGAATTGATCATAATATAAACCTTGATAGGCTTATATGATATGCGATCTTTTTTACATTTTCATCATATATTTGAGGTGCAATCATAAAAAAGCTAATATAGAATATATAATTCTACTTTTATATATGTGAATGGATTGATTGGATTGTTTATGAATAGTGAAATGCCTATGATTATTTCATTACAACTTACTTCTCCAGAACCAAACACCTTCCTTGCAAGTAGATGCTGTAACAACAGTTGATTCAACCCTCTAATACTTCTTATACGTTTTTAGTATTTATTAGTCTGTACATGGCCGAGCTCAATGCCCTCTTTTGAAAATTTGTCCTTCCATATAGAAGGTCCAACCAGCATGTTTGTTTCAATTGTTCTCAGTTCTTGTCTTTTGGGATTATTTTTTGGAGTTTTGGTAAGATAAAAGTTATTTTTATGATGTGCATAAATGGTTGTTGATGGAATTATGCCAAACCGAGTTACTCTTTTCAATTCGATTTTTTCCTTATAAGTATTTGTAAGTATTTTATTAACGTATATGTTAGTTTTACACCTATTTAACTCGTTCACATTGCCCACGCAAGCAGATTGAAGGTGAAAACCGTTGTGTATATACAGCAAATGGCCGCAAAAAATATATGACATTGAAGAAGAACTGTGATGATGATGAAATACGACTTACAGTGATTGTTCCCGCATACAATGAATCAGATAGAATAGTGGATATGTTAAAAGAAACTGTGGATCATCTAGAGAAACACTATCGGTCTTTGGGGGATCGAGGAGAGAGGCAATGGGAAGTTCTTGTTATCGATGACGAGAGTACGGACTCAACGGTAGACTCTGTATTACGATTTTCTAGTTCACTCGATTTGGGCGATCATGTGCGTGTCTGTTCACTCAAGAAAAATCGGGGAAAAGGAGGTGCAGTAACTTGGGGTATGCTTCATGCTCGTGGACAATATGCAATTTTTGCGGATGCTGATGGTGCTTCCAGGTTTTCCGATATTGAACGTTTATTTGAACACATGCCCAAAAATGCTACTGGAGGTGTTGTCATTGGTTCTCGTGCTCATATGGTAAACACTGAAGCGGTTGTTAAGCGTTCATTCATACGTAATTTTTTGATGCATTCTTTTCACAAATTGTTGCAAATTCTGGGAGTTCGTGAGATTGGCGACACGCAATGTGGGTTCAAACTGTTTTCGCGCTTCGCTTATCGAAATATATACTCTAAAATGCATGTTGAAGGTTGGATCTTTGATATTGAAGTCTTAACCTTGGCTCGTTTTCTCCAATTACCGATTTACGAAATTCCCATTACTTGGCATGAAGTCGGTGGTAGCAAAATGACTTTATTAAAAGACAGTATTCGTATGGCCATCGATTTGCTAGTGATTCGATTGAATTATTCCTTTGGCATTTGGGAACGGCCAAAGCCTAAGTATGCGTAATGATTTTCAGAAAATTTGCGGACTGCTGTTTCCTGTGTACATGTCTAATGCTATTTTTTCGTTCGATATATTGGCTTCTGTGTCATTATATTCCATTTTATTTCAGTATCGTTTGAAAGAAAAACCCACTAAATCTTTGATGAGCGACTCTCTTTTCTTTCGCTACAAGCGATTTCTGATCATTCGTTTTTAGTGGCCAAGGGACATAATGTTCAGAAGGCTTTTAAGAAGGTAACGTTCTTGTAAAGCTTACGCGTAAATTTATGGTCCGTCTTATTCTAATGTTTATTATCTTTTTTTATTACACAATACATGCAGGTTCATCTTTGGTTCATCGTTTTAGGAAGCAGGCAAAGAGTGATCGCATGGCAACTCTGTTACATAAGGGCAGACTATTCTCACCGTACCTTATGATGATTATATATACAAACGTGTGTTGTTTTATTTTTCCTGCTGCTGCCTCGAACTTGGATTTGTGAGATGAAGCTGGCTTGTTGATGAATCCCATTTAATTTTTCTTTTTATCCTTTACAAAATAAAAAGAGAAATATAAGAACCTGCTGGCTCAGGAATATGCCAATTGCCAGGGAAATTAATCCATAAATATATATTTATATATACTGGTTTTATTTATAGAAAATTATAATTATATTACTATGTACATTCTGTTAAAATTTACTTCCTTTATGACAGGCAATTTTTATCTTGGCAGTATCTAAAAATGTATCGTTAGATCACGATGTAGATCAGTATTTGCCAACATGTAAATATACCATCAATCAAGAACTTCACTTTTCACCACTACCATTTTCCCTAGAAAGGTCAATTCTGGATATTACGGGGATTGTAGTAATTTCTTTCGTTTAACAAGCGACTGTCTTTTCAATTTTGGTGCAACACATCTCTTTTTAGAGGATTTTTCCCGTGTATTTTACAAGACTTTAGCTTTCAGCTGAGTTTCAGTGAAAGCACACGTTGGTTGAAAGAAAAATTAAAAGAATAGACAAAGTTGTTTAACTTTATTCTCATCAACTAGATCTGCTTTGTTTACTTGCGCTTTCAACTTTTCTCGTTTGGAGATCTATACTGTTGAAAATGTTTCGTTTTTTGAAGCCTTTTGCTTTAAAAACTTCCCTTCAACGCGGACAACGTTTCTATTCCAAGGTCCCTCCTGTTATTAACCGTGAACGTGTTTTGCCCAAGCAAGCTCCCTTCCCTACACCACAAACTACGAATGACATTGCCACCCTCACCATTCGTAATGGCCCAATTTTCCATGGCACCTCCTTCGGTGCTAACCGTAATATTTCTGGTGAAGCAGTTTTTACCACTTCTCCCGTCGGATATGTGGAGTCTATGACTGATCCTTCCTACAAACAACAAATTTTAGTCTTCACTCAACCATTGATTGGTAACTATGGTGTTCCAAGCGGCTCTAAGCGTGACGAACATGGTCTTCTTCGTCACTTTGAATCTCCCCACATCCAATGCGCTGGTGTGGTCGTAAACGACTATGCTACCAAGTACTCTCACTGGACTGCCGTAGAATCTCTTGGTGAATGGTGTGCTCGTGAAGGTGTTGCTGCCATTTCTGGTGTTGATACCCGTGCTATAGTTACACATTTGCGTGAACAGGGTAGCAGTCTTGCTAAAATCAGCATTGGCGAAGAATATGATGCTAATGACGATGAAGCTTTTGCTGACCCCAGCGCTGTCAACTTGGTTAGCCAAGTATCTACTCGTGAACCTTTCTTCGTTGGTGGTGGCGATGGAATGATGAATGTTGCTGTTATTGACTGTGGTGTCAAAGAAAACATTCTCCGTTCTCTCGTTAGCCGTGGTGCTAGTGCTACTGTGTTCCCTTATGATTACCCTATCCAAAACATCGCTAGTAACTATGATGGTGTCTTTTTGACGAATGGTCCTGGTGACCCAACTCACCTTACCAAGACTGTCAGCAATCTTCGTCAGTTAATGAAAACTTATAATGGACCTATTATGGGTATTTGCATGGGTCATCAAGTACTTGCCCTGGCTGCTGGTGCTAAGACTATCAAACTCAAGTACGGTAACCGTGGCCATAACATTCCCGCTTTCGATATCGCTAGCGGCAACTGTCACATTACTTCCCAAAACCATGGTTATGCCGTCGATGTCTCATCCCTTCCTTCAGAATGGAAGTCTACTTGGATTAATTTGAATGACCAATCAAATGAGGGTATTGCCCATGCTACTCGCCCTATTTCCTCTGTTCAATTTCATCCAGAAGCTCGCGGTGGCCCTATGGATACTCACTACCTTTTTGACAACTACATCCAAGAGGCCCTTAAATACCAGAAATCCCGTTTGCCTTAGATCTGTTGTAGTGTCATTTTTTTTGTGAGGTGTTTTTAGTTGTTGTCTCATTTAAACATTTACCCTTTGGATTCGTTGTTTCTTTAGACTTTCTACAAAACAGTTTTGGACATTGAGGGTTTGCTAATTTTCCTGTAATATTCGAATGCCTCAAATTGTTTCTATGTACTTTTTGTTTTTTCTTGTACTTTTTTGTTTAACTATTATAAATAAATACATATGAAGAGTCAAATGTATTATGATACGGGGTTACTAAATATGATATGTATGTATGCGTCTATACCGAATGTAAATACTTACAAAGTACTACAAATGAATTTCATGTTCATGTTTATGTGTCTTTTCATTGTATATACACTAAGACATGTTTTAGTTAAACATTCCTTTATGGTATTATACTCAATCCATTCTCGATTGTACTGACATATGCATTCATTAATTCTCATGGACCGAAGATTAAATTAAGAATATTGTAAGTTATAAAACAAAATTCATCCCCACACAGGAAGAAACTAATGACTTACTTAAATTGACTTAATATATCATGTCAAATTATTTTTTAGCAAGGGTACCAAAAACTACCTTAGGTTATTTATCACGGCGATTTTTTTCTTAAACGAGTTCGCAAAATTAAGCAACGATGTGCTATGTCACTAATAACCTCAGACAAGCTGATTGTCATTTTACCTATAAGCTGACAGTGTACACTACATATACCGGGAACATAGGGGAAACACCAAATTTAAAGGTTATTTGCAAAGCTTTCAACAGTTTTTCTTTGTTTAAAAACATTCTTTTTCGTTAACTGTGCTTAGCAGCCAAAAACCTAGTGTTTCTAAAGAAAAGCAGTTGAAGCTCTCATCTAGACAGTGCGGAAGCTAAAAGGAGGTTTTAATAGAAGTAACTACTGGACGAAAACAGTACAGACAGGGGACGACATTTGCGATTCCTTTTTTATTTACTGGTTTTTCTTAAATTTGTTCTCTTTACTAAGAATATAGCGAGAGGAGGGTGAATTTCGTTATTCTCTATAGTGCACTACATTATAGGGTAAACGAGAATTTCTGTATATTGTCAAGGATTTTTGCGCATTTTTTTCTTCAGCACAACCACAATGCTGTATGTGTCAAAATTGCCGGTTGGGACTTCTAGTAGTGCTATGCATGCACTTTTTTCGTCCTACGGTAAAGTAAAAGATGTTTGGATGTTATCGCCAGATAATTCTGCCATTGTAAGCTATGAGTCTTTGGGGTCAGCTATAATTGCTAGGGATGCTTTACATAATCGCGCTGTCTTTGAAAACCATGGACCTATTCAAGTTATTCTTGCTAGGCCAACATCTAGTTTTGAGAACAGTAGCCCTGCTTCTTCAACAGTCTCTTATGCCCAACCGAAAGAGCCATTACTACGGTCACATTCCACTGCAGCCGCTAGCTTTCTTTTGAAGAATCGCCTTGATTTATTAGAAATCGCCAAGCAGTTTGAAATGAAAATTAATTTGGAGACGGTAGATTTGATGATTGCCAGTGCCATCGAAAAGAGTCAGGTTGCTACGGAAATTCGTCCTTCTCTTGAAACTTTACGGTCTAGACAATTTGAGGCCTCTAAGCTTCGAGAAATTCGAAAGAACATTGACAGCGGATTCTACACACAAGAGGAAATTGAAATTATTGCTACCAGCATGCTTGATGATGTAGCTGAATTGTCAAGTGATTACCTTGGTAACACAGTAATCCAAAAATTTTTCGAGTACTGTTCTGATCCTGTTAAGGAGGCTATGCTCGAGCGCATCGCTCCATACCTGGCTGCTATAGGTATTCACAAGAATGGTACATGGGCTGCGCAAAAGATTATTGATGTTGCATCTACCGACCGTCAAATGGACCTGATTGTTACGCATCTTCGTCCTTATGCTGCATTACTGTATTTTGATCAATTTGGCAATTATGTGGCACAGTGCTGTTTACATTTTAGATACCCAAATAACTGCTTTCTTTTTGAAACTATGGCAAGGCATTGTTGCGAAATTGGACAGAGTCGTTTTGGCGCTAGAGCTATCCGTGCCTGTTTGGAAAATGAGCATGCAACCTTTGAACAGCAAGCTCTTGTTGTTGCTGCTATTATTATTAACTCTCATTTGCTTGCCACTAATACGAATGGCATGCTACTCCTTACTTGGCTATTAGACAATTCCTTCTTCAAGAATAGACATCGTCTCTTAGCTATCCATCTTGCAGCGTATTTACATACAACATGCACCCATAAGCTTGCTTCAACGCTCATTTTTAAGTTAATCAACAACAAACAGGAACCCGAGTCTCGGAATCTGCTGCTCAAGAACATCTTTTTCTCTGAAAATGATAGCGTCCTTACTTATATATTACAGGATCAGGCAGTGGGTCCTTCGTTTATTCATAAAGTAATTACCTATCCATCGATTGGTCATGAGTACCTTACTCAATTCCATATGGTAATCAAGCGTGTTCTTAGTAATTTGCATGTGCAACCTACTCCTCTTTATTACAGGTTGATGGAAGAAGTTGGAATGACGAGTAAAAGTTTATCCCCTGCTTTAAGTGGTATTTCTATGGCTGCTCCCTCGTTAGATAGTGCTTCTTCTAGATTGACTCGGGACTTTAACTCACTTGCCTTGTCCCCCTCTAACAATATGTTGAATGGCGTTCCTTCTCTCGATGCAACTCCTGCTTATGCAGCTTACCAGCCTGCTGCTACCCCGACAACGGGACTTGGTAACACCACTGCTGCGGCCAACAGAAAGTCCAATTTGCTTCTTCAAACCCCACGTAACGAGAACGTGAAATCTGCTTCATCCGTCTTAGATACGTCCTCTCTAGTGAACCCCACTTTGGCGAAGTCTGCAAGTCTTAGCGGCGGTTCTTTGTTGAACCCTGTTTCCCCTCTTCTGCGCCGCGAGGCTCCTGCCGGAAAGCTTACAATGCCTGCATACCCATATGCCTCTCCATTTATGAATCCGGCCATCGGCACTGATTATGGATTACCCAGAGTTTCAACTAAGCTTCCCCAAGTTTTCCCAGGAACATACCCTCGCCTTCAGCAATCATTGTTGCCTAGACAAGGTGAGCTTCGTTTTGATTAGACTTTCGTTTGACGATTACCTCTTATGTTTTTGTGTAAATACGAACATGTTTATGGTCTCTTCGTTTCGCCTTTCTTTACATAATTTACAAAACATCATTCTTTATTCTATAATATGGTTAAAAGTTTACTTGTGGGATTTCAAAGGGAGGATACTAAATTAATTTCTTTAATTCTTTTCATTTTTTGAGGATGGTTTTGAGTCATGCTGTGCTAGGGGTTATTTATGATGCTTAATTTGAGCAGGCATGATTTTTCATTCACGATTGCTCAAACATTTCTATCTATTATTAACTTGTCTTTTTTTTTCAAGTGTTGTATGGATTGTAATCTAAATAGATTGCAATTCATGTATGTTTTGCTATGAAGGAGTTTTGGTGTTATGTCTTTCTCTTATGTCAAAATGGCAAATCATCTGGCATGTGGGTCTTTTTAGATGCTGGAAAATGATAGTTCTATCTTTTCTGTTCTAGCACTGTTTTGCCCTTACAGCAGATGATTTACAAAAAAAAAAAAAATACTGAGCGTTATAAATATAAATATATACACATACGGACTGTCGTTTATTGTTTTTCTTGTTTGTGGGCGTTATTACTTTTCCTATTATTGTTAATACCCTAATACCTTTATTTCTTTTGCATCTTGGAATGTTTAGAAAGTATAAAGTTTCTCTTGAGAACCATTATATTGTTTTTTGTCGAATAAGTCTGCTTTGTATTGTCAAATTATGTACAATACGCCGCCGCTTTATTTGACGTGTTTATATTAAATTTTTTTATTATCTTATAATCTTTACTGTTCTTTTCTGCGCGTTTATTTTCGTTTTCTTACCCATAATATCTTCGTTAACATGACTGGTATATTTGGAATTTATTCATTTGTAGCTAAAGATATATTTCATCGTCTTTTCGTTTCAAATTTATAAACTAAAAATAGAGCAAACAGACATTCAAGGAAAAGTGTCGGGGTTTTTTAATGCGCTCTTTTGTAATTCTTGGATTTCTTTCTGTTTATTTCTAATTAAAAATTTTCTATTACTGTTAATAAGTAACTATGTTAAATAAAAATTCTTCACTTTGGTTCCTCTTGTATTAGAAAAATCGTTTGTCCTATGCTTAAGCTCTTATAATAGTCATACAAATATTTGTATTCATAAAAACGAAGGATTGAATGAATTTGTAAATTCCTTATTGTTTACAAGTTAAAGAGCTTGAGTGCGCTTCCCTATCTCGTCAGATACCCTTTGTCAACGACCATAAAATCAGGCAGCAGGTAAAACATTGACTATTGGGATGTCTGTTCCCATTAAGCTTGCGGTGAAGTTAGTAGACGGAGAGGTTTCTTGGCGGGATCTTCGATATGTGTATTTTTCTCCAGCAGCTTTAAAGCGACTTGGCTTTGTTCAGAAACAGCTTGTTTCTGTAAAACATTCCAATGGTTCATCAATTGGTATCGCCCAAGTACCACGAGGAGTAAATTTAGGTCCTTTTGAGATAGGTCTTAACTCACAATTTGCTGACTGGGCAAATGCAAAAGTTGGTCAACGAGTGAACGTGGTTCAATATACTCATCCATTGAAAGACGTAGAGAGTTTAAAGATAACTTGCAGTACAGGTACAGAAGGAAATCCTTTTTCTGAATCACAGATCAAGAAGACCCTACTGGAGATGCGTTATTTGCATCTGGGCATGGTTTTTGCAGCACAAAGCTCCAACACAACAAAAGCATTGACACCAGTTACGAAGCATGCGTCAATCGATCATAATTTGAAAGATAATGATGATATTCTTCCACCAGGATGTATAAAAATTGAGGAAATCCATGTCCGATCTCCTAGTAACCTGTTGGAAGCAATCTCTGATTTATCTCTAGAGGAGCCCCGACTTTATCGGTTTACTGCATCTTCGGATTTAGATGTGGAAGGCCCTTTCCATTCTGAAATGTCTGAATCGCAAAATTCAGTTTCCTCGCCTGTGGTCCAAGATTCTCGAATTCAACAAGAGGCGTCTTCTACACCTATAACATTTTCCTCCATTGGAGGATTAGACAATCAAATTCAACAAGTTCGAGACGTTATTGAACTTCCTTTTCAAAATCCCGAGCTGTTTGAATATTTTCACATTTCTCCTCCACGAGGTATTTTACTTTATGGACCTCCTGGAACTGGTAAAACAATGATTTTACGAGCAATAGCAGCGGAAACTAACGCTCGTGTTTTCCGAATCGATGGGCCGTCTGTTGTTGGTAAATATATGGGTGAAACTGAAGCTAGGCTCAAGAAGATTTTTGATGATGCTCGTTCCCAACAACCATCCATTATATTTATTGATGAGATCGATGCTATTGCGCCTAAAAGGACTAGTGATGTTAGTGAAGCAGAAAGCCGAGCGGTTGCAAGTTTATTAACTTTGCTGGACGGTATGTCGAATGCTGGTAAGGTTGCCGTATTTGCAGCCACGAATCGCCCCAATTCTATAGATGAAGCTCTTCGACGACCTGGACGTTTAGAGAAAGAGATTGAGGTTGGAATACCGGATAAAAATGCTCGCTTAGACATATTAAAGCTTCTTTTTGAAAAGGTTCCAAATAAACTTGGTCCTGAAGAATTGGAAGATTTGGCGAGTCGCACTCATGCTTATGTCGGTGCTGATTTAACAGCGGTCGTTCGCGAGGCTGCATTACGAGCAATTAAGAGGGCTTTAAAAAAGCAAAATGAGTCTGACGATGCTACTGCGAAAGAAAATCGTGGTGCTGTAGAGTTAGATGATGTGGAACTAGCATTAACCTCAGTTCGACAAAGTGCGATGCGAGAATTTATTATAGAGTCGCCCAACGTCAAATGGTCACAAATAGGAGGTCAGGAAGATGTCAAACAAAAATTGAAGGAGTCTGTCGAGTGGCCGTTGACGCACCCGGAAACCTTTTCTCGGTTAGGAGTTCGCCCTCCAAAGGGAATTTTATTGTATGGTCCACCGGGATGTTCCAAAACGTTGACTGCCAAGGCGATTGCCACAGAAACGGGACTGAACTTTATAGCTGTCAAGGGCCCTGAATTATTTAACAAATATATCGGTGAAAGTGAACGAGCTGTTCGTCAGCTTTTCCAAAAAGCTCGGCAAGCAAGTCCCTCTGTCATCTTTTTTGATGAAATTGACGCCTTGACAAGTAGCAGAGGTGAGGATCATAGTGGAGATCGAGTAGTAACGGCATTGCTAAATGAGCTTGATGGTATCGAGGCGTTAAAAAATGTGCTTGTTCTTGCAGCAACGAATCGACCGGATGTGATAGATCCGGCTTTAATGAGACCTGGCAGATTGGATCGGTTATTTTATGTAGGACCACCAAATCTTGAAGCACGCCGTCAAATTCTGCTGATCCAATCTCGACAAATGAAATTCTCTGAGGGCATTGATTTGGAGGATATCGCGCTACGTACGGACGGTTGTTCAGGTGCAGAAATTGTTGCTTTGTGTCAGGAAGCTGGTTTAGTTGCTATGCATGAAAACGTGGAAGCAACGGAAATTACGCGAGCACACTTTGAGAAAGCATTACTTGCACTCAGAAAGGGTATCACTCAAAACATGTTGGACTTTTATAGTCAGTTTGCTGAAGGTGTTTCAGCTAAGGCATCAAGTGGTTAAATGGTTGCTAGGAATGGTTAAAGAATTGGTGTGAGTGAATAAACCAGTTAGTGGTTTTTTTACTTTGGGATTTACGTGGTTTTACTTTATTTTTTGGCATAGGTGTGGGTGATTGATTCGTATGATAAAGAGAACGCAGCTTCATTTCTCACAAAACATTAAATATATGAGGAAGTCCTCAATCCTGCAAAACTTTAATTATGTGTTGTTGATATGGATGAAATCGACCTTTCTATTATTTATATTTTATAAATACCTATCGTGTGAGATGTCATTGACAATCATAATTTTATCAAAATAGAGGGCTATCCCTTTTTAAATATGCTCAAAACATTGGAATATATGAATACCAAAAGTCAGAATGATGCGAAAACCGTTTACAATTTGAATTGACTCTGGAGTTTGCCGAAAGCCTCTTGAGCAGAGGATGAATTATTCTTGACGTCCATAACTACTTTCATAGCATTACCACCTGTAGCATCGTTAATTTTGTTCATGATGGCTATCTTTTGCTTTGTGTCTCCAGGAATCACATCGTTGATTTTCTTCATCGTTTCTGCTTGCTTGGCACTCTCCCTGGCATGAGATGCGAAACCCATAGGATCATCAGCAATACCGCCTTCTCCAGCGCTGCCTTTAGAGCCTCTAAGATTCAAAAAATTCTGCATATTGATGTAAAGAGCAAATTGGTAAATAAACAAAAAGATGAGTGAATAAACAAGTAAATTTTAAAAAATTCGATCGATATTGTCTTGCATAACTGTCCCTAAGTATTTATATTATGCGAACCTGGGATTTATTATTTTTGACATCATTCAATATAAATGATTTCAAAGTGATGAAGTCCTTGACATCACTTGTCGCGAAATAAAAGTGTAAACAAAGGATGGATCGAAAGAAAAAAAAAAAAAAAAAAAAAAAAAAAAAAAAAAAAGAAAGTTGAACTCAAACAAGTATAGCATACTCAATTCCATCATGTAAACAACCGAGTAAGAATGTACATAAGCAGGATCTTTAATGCTTGCTATAAAGAGTATTATACTACTACTAAAGAAGGAGAGCAGAAGGAAAGCAATAGGATACAGGGCTTGAATGATTCATAGATGAAAGAAAAAATGAATTCATTGATTACAAGTAAATGAAAGTAAAATCATAAACAATATTCTAGCCAATTTATATCCCATACAAACTCGTGATTAATGCAACAAAAAAAAATAAAGCAAATTTCAAGAACTAATAAATAATCAACAGGCTGCTAGCAAAATAATCAACATTTTGTTCAAGAAGCCTCTTTCGGTTGTTGGAGATCGTTACTCTTGATCGACGACATCGAAGTTGCCTCAGAAACTGAAGGGTAAGGCGTCAAAGTATTATTATGGACACGTTTTCCATCGTGGTAGTAGGAAGGACTAGAAGACTCTGTATTGACAGAATGATCCAACGATGACTGAGCAGCGGAATCCATGTTGGTCGTCGGATCGACATCATCATCTTGCAGAATGAACGATCGGTGCATGGCCTCGTTGGCGGCTGTATCCGTATTGAAGGCAAGGTTAGATTGAGACTCCCTAGGAAATGACGACGGCTTGGGTTGGGATTCAACAGATACGTTGATAGGTCTGACAGTAGCGTTTTCATAGAGGACATCTGTTTCATGAGAAAGGTGAAATCCTTTCAAATGAGGATAGGAAGAGGTTCGAGACTCGTGAGAAGCAGGCTTTTCGTCGTTGACCCGCTTGTATCCACCTTCCGTAGCATCTGAACTGGAAGGCGAAGAAGAGGACGATGCAGTGTGATGCTGAGGTTCAGGAACAGCACCAAGCGGATTAATAGGTAATTTATGAGTAAGCGGAGTGGCGGACAGCTGATCACGCTCACGCTGCATTTTAGCCTCGTTGTATTTAATTCCACGCATGACATATTCTTGATTAACAAAGGACTTTGTAGAGAGGTTGGAAGCAGCATCGGCTTCAGGCTTATAAGTGCTGGAAGCAGCACGAGGGAATACAGGTTCTCCATTTACAAAATTAACATGCACGTTGGAGGAAGAAGAGTTGACACCAGAGGACGAGTGGTTAATAGTGGAGAATTTAAAGGCGGGCATACTTGGAGGATATGTAAAGCCGCGATCCGTATAAGAGTTGCCAAAGGCGTCTTCATGGCTGTGATCAGAAGGGAAATGGGGATCATGCAAATCAGCAAAGCTTTCCGTCATTGGAAGCATTTGAGAGTCGCCCATTTCATAATCCTGCTCATCATCAGAGTCGGGATCTTTGTTCGCCGTGTCCCCCTTCCTTGAAGCTGTTGCTTTCTCGTGAAATCCAGTAACATTTGGAGCATCATCATTGCGGTGGAGATAATACTTGGAGAAGTCACCGTAATATTCACTGGAATTGTGATCGTCATTATACTCGTCGGTCAAGTGACTATACGAGGAGGAACGGTCGAAATCGTCGTTATCAAGGTCATAGTCATAAGAGGAAAAAACAGGAAACCCTGTGGGCAAGCCAGTACGAGGCTGGAACGGATTTTCACCACGAAGCTTTGGAAGAGACTTGAGACTCGAAGCAGAAACAATGGATTCCGGCTTGCGCTCATCAGTAGTCTCAGTGTAAGCGCCTGGTATATAAGATATTGGGTCTCGTTCAACCCGATCCTCTGGATCAGGGGCGATCATAGGAGTAGTGGAGAACATAACTGGAGGTTGATCTACAAATCCTGGCAATGGTAGTCAAAACAAGAGGTGAGGAAATTGCAATTGGAAACCAAAGAGAAGACAAACGAAGAAGAAAACAAATGAAAAAAAGGCTCGATGGAGCCAATTCAATCCTCAGAACAAACGAAAGAATCACAGGATGTCAAGAGACTAATGTAACACTTACGAATCGAAGGGGGGGGGGGTAGTATGAGCAGCTGAATACAAAAGTGAAAGAAAAAAACAGGAGCCCTAGACTGATTTAAGCACTCTTCATTAAAGTGGGCCAAGCCCCGATAGAGCAATAAATGATGTCAATCATGGGCAACAAAATGAGCGAGAGATAGATTCAATGTTGCAACGGAAGTCCGACAATGGCAAAATCAAAAAGCAAAGCATAAGATTGGTGGAATGACGTGAAAATGATATGATTGTTCTTTTTATTGGTGCTGGTGTTGGTGTTAGTTGTGTTAAAGGCAATGTTGGTTTCCTACTGGAATTGTCTTTTTCTTTTACATTTTCCATTGTTCATTTCTCTCCTACAAAAGATTATTTCGTTTTTATTTCACAATGACTGGTTTGAAAAATGTGCACATTTGTAGTACTAATATTTCCTAAATACATTAGAGTACAGTAATCCGTCATGGTCCAGTGGCTAGGATTCATCGCTCTCACCGATGCGGCGGGGGTTCGATTCCCCCTGACGGAGTATTTTTATCCAATTCGATGTTTTGACTTGGATTTTACAATGTTTGAAATACCATTCTACAAAAGTTCAACTGTTTACCTGTACAATTTTTATCCTTTTGTGAGTCCAAAGAAAAAATGTACTTTGATGGAAGTTGCTTGAAATATGACTTAAAGCTTACCATCTTTTGAAACAATGGGAAAAGTGATAATAAGAAAAGTGTCACTATAGGTGTCTTGCTTATATTATATATATAAGTATACACTATGATAAGAGCATATTTTGAGTATTAACAAATAACATAAGACTAAAGGATAATAATATTACAAATAGTAAACAAAGCATAGAAAATACGATTTGAACAAATTAGACAGCTTTCGGAACGGAAGTCTTTCAAATAAAGAGACTTTTGTTTACAAAGAGATATATTACGTTAGTTATTTCAGCGAAGATATATAAACTATGAATCCACAGTCGAATTCTTCAGATTGGTATGTTTTTTTATCGTGTTTAAAAATGAAATACATACTTACTATCCTTTTATCACTCATCTTAACAGCCAAATGTGCACATTCTGCAGAGATTTACTTGAGGCGTGGTTTTGATAACAGCACTTTATGGCGTACTGTGGAGAGATGTATCTCCCTGAATTTCGATGGCAAAGTCATTGTCGACAGAGCATCAAAAACGCATCATGATAGACTCATTGTATGGGGAGATTGTGGTAATAATGTTGACTATGATTTTGACCAATCTACTTCAGACGCAATATTGCAATGCATTTACTCCTCATTCCCAAATGCCACCATAGATATAAGATCTCACAATGGGTTTGCAGTAGGCGGATCACGGTACACTGATCATGACGTCGAAGACTTCTACAACTACTTCGGTCGTGGCTATCCTATAGATTACGATCCCGACTATTCTAGTGAAGGGTGTGAGGATTCAGGCAATAGTCAGAATTCACAAGCAGGTGATCACAACGAGACTGTGCTACAGGACGAATTATTCGGTATCTCTAATAATCAAGGTTATCCTGATTCGAGAGGCAAGCCTAAACAATACCGTAACAAACTTACAGTAGCTTGGTATGGCAAAGGTGGAGACCAAGACTTGATAAGTAGTAATGTAATAGCTAGGACTACATTACAATGTTTTGTATGTGCTATAGTATTCGCGGCAAAATAGCAAACAGTCTGACCGTATCAAATCAGCAAAATAGATATGATGACTTGGCCTCACCACCAATGTCGTTCTCGATCACCTGATGGATCAAAACTAGAAAAAGGCAGAAAAGTTAAGGCTGAGACTAATGACGTGACAGACGTAGAGGACAGAACGGGCTCATTCTGGATACAATGCAGACCGCAAGACGGCTGGCCTAACCCTGACAAAGGTAGCAAAGTTTTGTGGCAGGTTACATGGCTTAATTAGCAAACACATGTCTAATTCTATAGACAGGGTGCTATTTATTATCAAGCAGCAGTAGATACTCATAACATGCGAATGGGTTAAGTGACTGGTTTAAGAATTGTAATATGTATATTCAACAGTATGGCGTGACAGAAAAACAAGGAAGCAAATTTGTATGCGAATCGAGAGAAATGTCAATTTTTCAAAGACAAAGTCAAGTTTTTAGGTCACATATTTTCTGAAAAAGGAATTGAAGTCGATCCTGAAAGAATAAAAGCAATCACAAATTGGCCTGTACCAAACACTTTAAGAAGGCTACAGTCATTTTTAGGATTTGTGAATTACTCGAGAAGATTTATGCCAAATTTATCCAAATTGGCAAGACCATTATACATCTGGCAAAAAAGAACGTAAAATATAAATGGACCGATAGTCAGCAGCAGGCTTTCATACAAGTTAAGAAACAACTTGAAAATGTTTCTAAGTTAAGACATTATGACCCCAAACGAGAAACTAGATTGGAAACTGATGCTTCTGACTTTGCTATCGGAGCTATACTCTCACAAAGGCAAGACGATGACCTTTATCACCCAATTGCTTTTCATTCAGAGACATTTACAGATCGACAACGAATTTGGCCAACATGGGAGAAAGAAGCGTATGCAATTATAGCAGCTTTACGCAAATGGTATCATTTTCTATCGGATACTGAGAAGCCATTCACAATTTTAACGGATCATAAGAATCTAACAACCATGTTTACCAACATCAAAGCAGATACCCGTGCAAAGATAAATAGATGGGCAACTGAAATGGAACTATATAATTTTGATAATAAATATCGACCAGGTCGAAAGAATGAACCTGCAGACGCACTTTCTCGTCGTCCAGATCACAAACCTGAAATAGTTAATCGAGTCGTGGAAACAGACATTCCCACAAACATATTCGACTACGTGAGACAGGAGTATTTCCATCACAAGAATTTAAAGAATATTCTTAATGGAATAAATCGTAACCCACAATACACTGTGAAAAATGGTCTCATCATCAATGATCAAGGACAAATTGTCATCCCCAAACTACCACAACTTGTACAACTCATATGCAATCAGTTTCATGATCAGCCAGTCTCAGGAGGACATCGTGGAAAAATGTCCACAACAAATCGCATCCGCGAAAAATTTTACTATGACCGCAGACATCCAAAAATATGTCAAAAATTGTGACATATGTCAACGACATAAAACTCGAAATCATCAACGCTATGGTCAATTACAACCATTACCCATTGCAGAAAAGCCATTCAGACATTATTCTATGGATTTTATAACAGGATTACCACCTTCTCAAGGTAAAGATGCAATTCTAACCATTGTAGATCGTTTTACCAAAATGGCTTGGTTTATCGCTTGTAACACACCAACAACCACGGATCAGTTAATTGAAATATTCGAGGACAAAATCATATCCAGTTTTGGATATCCAATTAATATTGTTTCAGATCGTGGACCTGTTTTTATTTCAGAAAAGTGGCGACAATATGCCAAAGACCATAACATACACCTTATGTTATTTTCAGGATATCATCCACAAACAAACGGACAAACAGAGCGCGTCAATCAAATCTTGGAGTCATATCTTCGTTGCTACGTGAACAAACATTTAACAAATTGGGTCAATTATCTTCTCAAAGCTCAGTTATGTTATAACTCTTCACAGCACTCTGCTACAAAAATAGCTCCAA